TACAACTGGTTCGTTCAAATAATGAACATTATTGTAAACTAATACGAAAGATGAAGAATTGCTTCTTCTCCTTTCGAATATTTCAGACATTTGATCAACAATTTCACTTCTATAATATAAAAATTCATCATCATCATCAACATTCGAATCCAGTTCATCTTCCTGGTCATTGGAATCATTCGTCTGATTTCGAATAACAATTTCTCCATCAGAATTCTCCTCTTCCAATGGTTTAAAATTTGACAAGTAGAGAAAAATGTGTTCCAACTCGTTGGTCACTTCATCCTCCGTCGAAATCAATGTTTTCTGATCAATAATGGAGCTGCTAATTCGTGAGCGAAGATTTGACATTTTTTTATGTTTGAAAGTTTTTGATCTTTCTTAATTTAGCAAACGTGATGTCTAATTCTGAGCGAAGTGAAGAATGGACTTGTTTTCATTGTAAACTTAATAAAATATAAGTTGAGTATTTTTCCATGCTCAAAAAATTATCACAATGGCCCCAACACCAACTACACCAAAGAACAACAAGAAAACGAAAGACCTTAGCTCACCTTCTGCAGATAACTCCCACCCAATTAGTCCCACCCTTATTCAACCTTTTTTACGCTCTCAATGATTCTTGGTAAGTGTTCATTGAAGTGAGGTTTCAGATATCATCAAATGATATCTTTTTTATTTTAATTTCAGTTTAGTTATGCCATCCTATTCGCACCTCCTAATTTTTTTCTTATCTTTACTAATACTATTGATAAGTTTTTTTATAAGAGCCATATTTATTAATCTCGGGACCTGCTAATAAAGATTTATATCCATTAAAGCAGGTCTCAAGGCTGAATCACCTTAAAGGTGAAACAGTCCCTGAGCTTTAATACCCATTAGTATAATTACTTGTTCTCAATCTTGTTTTTATTAATTTGCAATGTAACATTTCCATAATCACAACAAAGTAGTAACTGTTTCTTTCCATCTCTTTCAACTAGGGCAGCAGAATTTGCTCCTCCAATGTAGATATCATCATCAGAGGTTTGATTCTGATCAATTATCAACACTGGTTCGATATTATCCAAGCTCTCCTTCTCGTTCAGTTTTTGAACAATCTCACTGATGTTCAAAATGCAAGATGTAATTCCTCAGCATTGATCACATTCAAAACATTCAATTCTCTTATTGCTACCATCAGAAATAACCAACACCCCATTCTTATCATCAAAGGCAACACCACAAGGATAGACAGGATTATAGAGAAGACCATGCAACTTGATCGATTTGATTAATTGAAACTTTCCAGAATATCCCTTACATGATCTATTCATCTTTTCCGATAATTTCTCATACAACCAATCTTTCCCATCACCTCGATGAACACCTTTCTTATTATCATTTTGATCATCTAAGTGGATTACAACTTGTTCATCGTGGTTGCTCATTTTTTCTGAATTGTTAGGATTGAATTAAATGGAAATCTTAATAACAGTTAAAACTGATTTTTTTTTGAGTGTTACTTGAATGTTGAGATTTTATTATGATTGTAATTGAAATATAAGGTTTACAATAGGTCAAGGAGTAATATGATTTAATATTTTTGTAAAGGTATTAAACTCGACTATTTGCTGGAAGTGATAATACTTGGTGCAATATTAAAAAAATGCCTCCAACCAATATTCGAACTCTTTCATCCAACAATAATTCATCACCGTCTTCGGATACACAAAAATCATTTCCCGCCACAGGTGGAAGAACACTCAGAGTTTCATCCTCATCTACTAATGAAGATAATAGTACTGATAGAATTGGAGCATCTTCTTCATCATCAACAGATGTAAAAAAGGCACCTTTGAATAATAATAATAATAATATAATTATTAAACGTGATGATGGTATGGAAAATATTCCGAGAGAATTTACTCCACAAAAGTTTATACCACCTCCAAGATTTGATACAAACAAAACTCGGAGTAATCCATCTTCATCATCAAGTAATAATTCTTCTAATAGACAACATGTTTGTTCGTCGTTATGTTCTTGTCCAAAAACAAGTTCTAGTAATGGAAAGAAGAATTCATGTGATACACCAATTTTCAATCAACAAACAGTGAATAGTTTTAGTGATGCAATTATATTGGCAGAATTGAATTCACCAACACCTGATGTTCATGTGTTATTTACTCATTTTGATGGCAAGTATTTCAGAAATAAGTTGTCAACGTGCACAACTTTGAGATGGAGTTCTAAAATGACACTTTGTGCTGGAATTTGTTATAGTCAATATCAGAAATATACCATAACAAAAACATTTGGACCTAGAGTGTCTTCGAGTGGATATTATGATCCTAATGATATACTGAAAAAACAAGAGCAAGTCACTCAGA